CCCTTCGACAGCCCCATGCTGCACAACCTGCAGAGCCGAGGGACGCCCGCGGCCGCCCGGCACGCCAACATAGGTGAGCGCAGCCAGGGTTGGGATGGGAGAGGGAGGGTTTCACCCCACCACCCCCCCAAATTTTTGTGCACCCACCCCTCTTTGGGCAGGGCGAGGAGGCGTGAAGGGCAGGAGGGGGAAATTCGGCGTATTCGGGTTGTCACTGCCGGAGCCGCCTCTCTGGCTGCAAAACACGGGGTCCCCCGCGGCGCTGCGGTTGCCCCCTGCAAAGCCGCCATTTCAACATATCCTCAAGGACCCCCAATTTCCAAAAAAATAAATATAATTTAGGGTAGGCCTGGAGCGGCAAGAAATGATGTGCCGAGCTCCTGTGCAAGGGCCTGCTGCCTCCACAAACAGCTCCGTGGGGATTTAGGGGCTGCGATGGGGATGGCCGCGGCGTGCAGGACCACAACGCTCCGTGGGAGAGCTGGCAGCCCCTTCCCGGGCTTGGTTTAGGTAGAAAATGGGGCAATTTGTTTGGAAAATGGGGAAAATAAAAATTTGGCCCGTGAATCCCAGATCTTCCCTTTAGGCCGTTTTACATCATGTCTGGTTTTTAATTTTTGAAAGGGCGGTTAGGCTAGGAAAAGGGAAAGCAAAAGGAAATTTGGTGCCGATGGGGGAGAGATGCTAGAGAAGGAAAAAGAAAAATGCGTCCGCATTTATTATCACGCTTTTTGGGGCACTCACAGGAACATCTGAACGACCCAGCCCTGTATTTCAGTCTCTTCTTGCCCCAAAAAATCTCACTGTTGATCTCTTGTGCCGATCTCAGTCTTGGAGCCTTTCATTTCATTAAGCGCCCCCGCGTCCTACAACCAGAAATCGGCCCGAATGGCTTAAAATACTGCTTGTATATTTTATATGGCAGAAGAGGGAGAAAGGGGGAGAGAAACGCGGGGCACATCTCTGCATCGCAGTTTCATAAACCCTTTTTTCCTCCCCGCCTTCTCTCCATGAAGGTCTTTCTGTCGGCTTCGGGGTCGGGGTTAACAAAGATGACGACTCTAAATTTGTCTGCAAATACACTTTCAGATGGTGTACTTTAACCTGAATTTTGGAGGGTAATTTTTCCATCGTGACTAGCAAGATTTGCTTTATCCTTAGCATTCTTTGAAGATGTTAAAAAACAGGGAAGTTGGGCGTCGGTGAAGGCTTGGCCTTGTCAATGCCTTTTGCTTTTCTTTGGGCGTTATGAAATTGCTGAAAATGGGGAACAGATTATCTTTAAGGATAATGTTTTGGCCAACCAGGCAATGTTTTTGGGAAGCCCTGGGAAGGTAGAAAGTATAGGAAAAAAGCAGGATGACTCAAATAATCAAATAATACTTGAATATTATCAACAAGGACATATGCGCAGTCGTATTTGACTACTGTGCCATCTCTTCCATGGGGAAAAAAAAATTACCTTTTTGCAGTGGTCTCAAAAGGGCTCTTAGTAATAAAAATAACTTAAAACCAAAATAATGCAAATGAAGACTTGCAGTTGCAGAAAAACCTGGCAGCTTTTAAGGTGCCAGAGATTGAGCACGGTGCTTTTAGGGTTTCAAGCCCTGCGTTAAGCAGCCGTTTGCGTTGCAGGTCTCGCAGCCTGCATTTTGGTGGCAAAAAAAGTGTTTATTATCTGGGCTCTTAAATAGCACTGGGGAGACGGGATGCGCTGAGCCAGTCCAGGAAACGTTAGCGGTCGCTAACGAAGGAGGAAGGAGCCGGGACCCCTTTCCATCGCCGGGTCCTGATTTGGGTGCTGGATTCACGGTATCGCCTCCGGCGTCACCGAGGACAGCACGGCAGCAACTGGGGGATTTATTAGCGTGGGTCTAATCACATCTCTGCTTTGAATGTGGAAAAAGCACTTGGGTTTTAAATAAAGAGTGCTTGGGTTTTGGTAAAAAAGGAAAAAGAAAAAAAAAAAAGAAACTGCCTGAAAGCTGGGGAGTTTTAAATTCAGGATTAAAATGCTATTTTTTGGAAGGCAGCTCCCCTGGCAAGTAGTTTAAGGTCCAGACCTGCCCCTTTCCCTCTTCCCCCCGAGTCGGGATGCGGCCGCTGCCGGGCTGCTCCCAGCCGGGTCCCTTCTCGACGCTTTGCGCAGGCTGCGGGTGTCGGGGGGCTCCTATGAGGCACGTAAAGGCTGGCTGGTGGTTTCTGAGCAGGGAGAAGGGTTGTTTTTTTTTTTTTTATGAGCAAGGGTGAAAAGCCCTGACGGGCTCAAAAACTGAAGGCACTGAAAGATTTAGTGGGAGGGAAAGACCATCATGGATTGCACCCATCCCGGACCCACTTTATTCACACACCCGAGCCTGGCTCAGCATCTGAGCAGTCCCTGGCACAGGGGAGCCCAGACTCCTTCCTTTGCCTTTCCTTAGGGCTAAAGATATTTTTATTCTCTGCACAATGAGGAATCTCAGGGTGGAAGCAAAATCCTCCACGCAAGCCTATATTAAATCAAGTGATTTTTTTTTTGCAGCGCTCTCATTTCCCTCCAGTGATTTTGCTTCCTGGAGAACTATCACCTTTGGATAGCGCTAATTGCAGAGCACCCCTGGCATGCCTAGAATATTAATTATTGTAATTTTTTAATAATGAAGATCAAGTCCGTGCAGGTGTAGCTGGACACGCAGACATAGATATGCAGTCTGTGCAATTGCGCACAGCATTTTTCCCCGCTGTAAAGCAATGCGCTGGGGACAGAAGTTTAGTGAAAATGTGTTAAAATAAAATGATACTAAAAGAAATAAAGATCTTCTTGTTTTTCCCTGATAAGAGGAATTTTTGGCCTGGGTTAAAACATGCCAATGCAGCTCTGTGGTATAAAGTGCTGGGAAGGATGGGTGCATAAATCACGTGGGCCTGTTTGAAAAACTTTCCCCGGTGTGAGTTCAAAATGCCGAATTTGGGCTTTTCAGGGTAAGTTTGGCGAATGGTTTCATTACCCTGAAGGGCAGGATCAGACCCTGCGGCCGAGGCCGTGAACTTGCTCCAGGCGTTGCCTGGGATGGGGTTACAGTGAATTCCCGACTTAATGAGGCATGAAAAGGATCCGCTGCAAAGTCCCCTTTCAGGAGACTTTCCTGCCAGAGCCAATACCTGCTTGAAATCTGCCCCAAAATTAGCAGCTTGCCCCTTTCCCCTTCGCCAGGCAGAGGGGAGCGGGGATCGAGGGCGGCACGGGAGCCCGAGCACATCCAGCCCGCTGCCGCTTGCTGCCTCCCGGCTGTCTCCAGGCTGGGGACGGAGTTTGCCATCCTCACCCCCTCTGATCTTGCTTTCCGCAAAAAAGCAGCGGGGTTTTTCTTCTGCGGTGGCATCGAGGAGGTGGTTGTGAGTAAATCGGGGCGAGGGGCTGTGGGCATTTCTGATGGGTGCTTTGCATTTTGTTTTTTGCATTTTGTTTTGACGGAGTCGAAGTCAGGGTTCCTCAAACAGGCACCGTTTGAACACAGCAGCAGCATCTGGGAAGATCAAAGCCTGGAGCAGACGCTGGGTTGGAAAATGTCTTCTCTGCTGCTGGTGGGGGAGAGATTGTGAACCAGATCTTAAGCTTTCCCATAGGGATGCTAAGAGATTTGCCCTGTAGCATCCCTGGGCCGGCATTTCCAGTGACTCACCGGCATTTGTTACAATCCTCTGCCCTACAAGCAGCCCCTGACCTTCCCCATGCACCTAAGGACAAGGTGGCTGCTCCCCATGACGGGGAGCCCAGCACCGCTGCTGTCCCTGCCCTTGGAGGGATGGGGCCCCAGGATGGAGGGATGGGGCCGTAGGATGGAGGGATGGGGCCGTAGGAAGGGAAGGGGCCGTAGGACGGAGGGATGGGGCCGTAGGATGGAAGGATGGGGCCCCAGGATGGAGGGAAGGGGCCGTAGGACGGAGGGATGGGGCCGTAGGATGGAAGGATGGGGCCCCAGGATGGAGGGAAGGGGCCGTAGGACGGAGGGATGGGGCCGTAGGATGGAAGGATGGGGCCCCAGGATGGAGGGAAGGGGCCGTAGGACGGAGGGATGGGGCCGTAGGATGGAAGGATGGGGCCCCAGGACAGAGGGATGGGGCCGTAGGACGGAGGGATGGGGCCGTAGGATGGAAGGATGGGGCCATAGGACGGAGGGATGGGGCCGTAGGATGGAAGAATGGGGCCACAGGACGGAGGGATGGGGCCACAGGACGGAGGGATGGGGCCGTAGGACATGTCTGTATTTTGCACCGCACCCTACATCCCCCGTTTTGCAAGCGGTTGCATTTCTCACCTTGGCTGCGCCGGCAGGGAAGGTTGGCCCAGGGCTTTGTTCCCCCTCGCGGGTTTCAAGCCGCCTTCTGCTCTCCTGCCTAATTTAATTGTCACCCGTCAGTCTGGGATTTGGGATGAAACCCATAGAATTAGGGGATCCAAGATCAAGCTCAAACACACAACTGTTTTTTACCCGCCAAGTCCCCCGACAGTATATTTTAAATTGTAAATAAAGCAACACCTAAAAATATCACCATCACGGGCACTATATCACCCTTATTAATAATACAGTTCCTTCACTGAAAACTGCACTTTATTATCAAATACAAATGCATATGTTGCATAGAACAGCCACGGTGCAGTATATAATACATTATAAATGCTTGTGAATTTTTGTAAAGCAGTAAAACTTAAGGCAGTGGATAGTGGCCCCGAATCTAAGACTTTATTAAGCCAGGATTAATTATTTTTCTCCTCCACACGTGCACTCACGTGCGTGTCTTTGTCCCTATAATGAGAACAGCGAATTTTTTTTTTAAGAGACAGCCTATATTTTGCTCTTTCTGTATTTATTTCCACCAGTTTGGGGGGAAAGAGGTGAAATCCTTGGAGACAGATGAGGGTTTATCTGGTGTTTCCCAAAGGAATTGGACCCGATCCTGCTGCCTCCCTGCTCCTCTGACAATGAAGAAACCTTGGCTCGGCAGGCAGAGAGGGGCTCCCCAAAGTTGGTTATCCCAAACGCAGCTGGGTATTTTGAATGGGCAAACCATCTTGCTCCCGACAGCTGT